GGAATGTTTAAGAATATCTATTGTTATGTGTATTAATGCATTGGCAAACTTAAATACAGACAAGCTATGAGCTCCACCAACAATTGTCATGCAATGATGGATAAAGAAGCGATAATTAAATTGCAAATTACAAATACAATTCTATCAAATTGCTCAGTGTCATCGAACTTTGTTGATTGTAAAGAATAAAGTACAAGCTTCTTGTTTAATAATGTGATGTGTTTTTTTCTTTCACATTCCTGCGTCCAGAGCGCTATGATGGCTTCGAGGGTCTCCGGGCGGAGGAATGTGGAATCCTGAACGGCTGTGAAAACGGTCGCTGCGTTCGTGTGCGAGAAGGCTACACCTGCGACTGCTTCGATGGATACGAACTGGACCTAAACAAGATGGCCTGTATAGGTAGGGTGCTTTCTTCTCAGCAGACCACCCATATATAAACTCAAATGTTCAGGGATTTCCCAAAATCAATAGAGAATCAATCTCTTCATTTTGTTTCGAAATGCGGAGCTGAATCTTGAAATCAAACCGCGGTGAACTCTCCCTTCAGATCTGAGCCTTTTCGGGCAAGCTCTTGGTTTCATTTCAGTGAGGTAACTCTTCATGTAGTATATCATCAGGCTCAAGGAGAAGCTTTGAATTTGACAGCCTTGCATTAAGTTACGTTTTATGGGAAACTAATGAAAGGAGTGAACTCGTCAAAACCATTGTGTTACTCTTTGGTCTGAAATTCCCAGGTCGCACTCTGCCAAAAGAAAGGAGGCCTTGAATCTCAGCCACTCTGTGTATTACAGGAGATATTATATCTTTTAAGTGTACTCTGTTTGCTTTGTGAGAAAGTGAGACTGTCTTGTTTTAATGAAATCCTATGTTTGCAATATTCTGAGTGCACACAACCTTATCAGCTCCAAGGCCATTCTCCCAAGGAACGTGATTGAATGCCGACGCGGTGGAAACATGTGGGAGCTGCGCAGCTCGTGCCATTCCTCCTCTTACAAATATCACCGCCAGCAGAACATGACATAAACAGAGGAAGGGTCCTTTGAGATCAGCTGCTATGAAACTACAATCAGACCTCCCATGCTGAAAAAGAGGGAAAAATTCTCTTCAAGGCCAAAAGGGAAACATAATCCAGTGCAATGTTAATTTTACCATCATCGTGAACAGTTCAGTGCTCACCATGGCTGGGAAGTACAGTTCAGACTCGATCCGGCCGACACGCAACATGACGGCATGCTTGATTAAACATATACAAGATGAGATGTTACGCAACAACATTGACAACTTTGAAACTCTGACAAATTTAAACGCCTGCTATTATTCACAATGTTAAACAAGATGTTCAGTCATCTTATTTAAATGTGCATTTAGTAGCTGTTGTTGATTGTGTCACAGGATCTTGACCTTTGGCCTCAGTGTACACTCCAGGTCGGCCTGTATGAGGCCAGAACACATCTGCTGGCAGCTAACACCTGATATCTACCGGTAGTTGGTGCAGGTGTAGTTTGTACAGAAGACCTTCAAAATTGAAGTTAAGAAAGTAGCTCAATCAAGATTTTGTTATGCCTCAGCGACCAGAGGCAAAATGTTCATGGGTTTTCTGTCCGTCCATCACATTGTTGTGAACACACTTGTCACTTTGAATCAAAGTGATTTTGGTGGTTGAAAGTCAAAGGTCACAGTGACCTCATATGAATCTGGAAAAAAATTTATGTTGATTGAAACTTCACTGGTGGGCGGAGCCATACAACCAAAGGAGGGTCATTTTTCCCAGAATCTCAAACTCTATCTGCTAACGAAAGTCATGCGAGATGACAAAATGCTGCAGAATCGCTCCTAAATGAACCAAAAACTGTTTCTAATGCAAAGAATTAATGTTCCATTTCAATGTCCTTGAAAATACTAAAATCACCAAACTCAGTGTGAATCTGACGCCAGTGATTAACTCCTCACATCTCTTTTTTCACTGCAGACATAAACGAGTGTGAAGACATCAATGACAAGGTGCCCCTGTGTCAGAACGGGCAGTGCACCAACACGGAGGGGTCGTACAAGTGCACCTGTTTGCCGGGTTTCGTGGCGTCTGCCCAACCACACAAATGCATCCCGACAATCCCAGAGTCGGGGCTCAGAGAGACGGGAAACTGAGACAGTGACTGCTGAAGCGCTGGCTTCTACTGCTTTTTCAAAGATCACCTTAAACACCCCTCTGCCCTTTTCCCCTGAAGGGCCTGGCCCTAAACCTCCAACAGTGACACTGAAATGTCCAATATCATCTCCCTACAGTCACACACACACACACACACACACACACACACACACATTCAGCACAGAAAACACACGTTTCCCTCTCATACACATTCAAGAGGACCAGGAACACAGTGCAGTGAATGTATTACATGGGATTTAATATTCACCAGATATCCATTTGCCTTAAAGGGATTTTGTAGACTGATTGTTTTTTTATTCAGTAACCCCTGGCAATTTGATTTACAGATTTATTTTCCACACTCTTTTCTCTGTCACTTCTTCTTTTGTTGTTGTATTATTTATTTCATCTCCATGACTCGCCTCTGCAAAGTAAGGAAACAATTTCAGACGTCATACTTCCTTTGGTTTTATTTGTCTCACCGATTGATTCAGAGACAGTGTGGCCCGGTGATATTGTAGAAGAGGAAATCAACTCATGACACAGCTTCTGCATCACTGTCAAACCTCTAATGTCTAACGCTCAGCCATTGTAATTCGCCTTGGCCTTGGACTAAACGGGCGCCAGGGTTTACAAACGTCACAAATTCGAAGAACTTTTCCCGCCGCTGGCTTCCTGAACTTCACGATTAACTACGAGCTGAAGTTGTAAGAATCTCTGGACCAAGAAGTGTGAAGTCAGCAACGCCAAACCTCCTTATTCAAAGCTTCAGCCTGTATGTGGACATGAAGAGACTATAGATGTATATGATGATCTATGTAATGTTTTGAAAAAGGTGCAATAACCCGCCTTCCTCTGTTTGACACCACTTTCATAATATTAGCAATGAAGTATGCTGATCCCATTTTTGTTTTCTTTTTAACAGTATTAACCTGTTTTATACTCAAATCAATGCACCACGACTTAAGTTTGATTCTATAAGAAGGTACGTTAGATGAAATTATCCACAAATATCACTGTTTTCAAACTGTAAGATTGGTTTCACGCACCACAAGGATTCCTCGTTGTCATCCAGCGCCCTCACATCAGACTGTTCCCACAATTCTGAATGCACGTAAAGACAAAAGGCTTCGTTGGAGAGGTTTGGTTTATTTTGTACAGATCTAGTACTATGTATTATTTTTGTTACATATTCTCTTAATGCATTATAGCACAACCAATATTTTGTTTGACGTAAAACATTAAAGTGTAAGAAAAAAAGTCTGGCATTATAGCTTTGTAGATTTATTCATGTCTGTAAAAATGTTTTTTTTAAAGCATATCTTTTTATGTGTGAGGAGAGAGTGGCTGACACTGTACTAGAGGAACTGTGTGTATAACCTGCCCTGTGGAGCAGACAATGAATTATATATATTTTTGGAAGTGGCAGCACTGTTCAAATCACAGACATTTTGTCTCTTCAAGTACATTACAAAGACGACGCTTTGGAAAATGCAAGCACCAGCTTAAATGTGTGTTACAACTTTTTGGCTAAATATGATTAATTATTTCCTTTAGTCTCTGTTTGATCCTTCGGTCATGAATGTATCATAGACAGTATCAGCCTACTTTATTTGGTTTCTTTATTCGCTCTAATACCTTTTTGACTCTCATATTCAGGTTTAAGAAAGTTATGGCATTATTTGTCTGATGGACTGAAGTTCAGCAGTAATGTAAAAGTCTGATTCTAACTTTAGTGGATGAAAAAACGTATGCCCTTAACCTGCATTATCATCTTCAGATGTACAAACACAACATATTTTTGTTTTACTGTACTTTACTGTTCATATCATCACCTGAACCGGAGCAGAAATCTGACATTGAGGAAAACGTTTCAATATTTAAAACCTTTCAAACACACAAATAACTTCAATTTCTTGTTGTAAATCTGTGTTCATTGGAAATATAATGCTCATTCATTTTGTTTACCTCTCGACTGTAATCACTATCAGTCATCAAAATAAAAACGTACAAAATACCTCTTGTCTCTTTGAGCATTTACTTTGCAAAATGGCAGCCGACACACTTCACGGTCTCCATATGTGTAGTCACACAGCAGTTAGCCCACAGCAGTATATTCTATTCTATTTGGAGCAGGTTAGTACAACAGTGTGTAGCTGTGATGGAAGAAGTATTCAGATCCCTTAGTTGAAATGTAGTCATATAAATGTAAAAATATTCAGAAAGAGTAAAAGAAAAAGTACTAAATATTTTTTAAAAGGTAAAAATCATTATCACCAAATGTAATACAACTAAAACTATCAAAATTGAAAGTATTTTTTATAGAATCTGACCTGTTTGGGTTTAAATACTTGGATTATTTAAGTATTGTTTCAATAAAAAAACCTGTAAGATTCATTTTATGTTTTAGCTTGTCMAAGCTGAACTAACTTTACTTAATTTCAAAATTATTATGGAAGATAATTTGTTTGAATGTAAAATCTTAATCTACAGACCACTGTCGAATAACTGTATTGGTATGGAGGATGTAATATTTTAAAATAAATGTATTAATTTCAAACTAGCTGAGGATTTAAAAAACGTGTACTTAATTTGACAAGAACAAAAGATTTGGTGGATGCATCACATCATTAATAATAATGAATAAACACATATTAACATAATCAATTCAAACAGGTCGCGTCAGACTCAATAAACGTGATTTATTATACCACATCTCCCCCTAATGGCCAAATCGAGCAGCACAGCGTCCTCGGGTCCGTCTCTTTTCTCCCATTTCACTAACGGGGGACAATCCAGAGGGATTCTGGGAAACCGTGTTCACCTTGCGATATCCGTGTGGAATACATCTCCCAGAAGCCCCATCGCTTCCTACGCGTTCGCCGGCTGCGCTGCTAACGTAAATATTTGAAGAATACAGGGTGAAGCGGTGGAGGAGGGTTAGCACGGTGCTAACTGTTTCTCCAGTGGACCTGATGTTTGGGTGGAAACTTAGACGCCATGTTGAGTGAGTTGTCGATGGAAACGTCCCGGTGGCTCAGAGACAATGTGACTAACACAGTGTCTGGTGATTTGTGGATATAATTATTAAATATTAATGTCTGAGCTAAATGAGGGCTACTTGTTCTGCTAGCATAATTAGCTACACGTCACCTGGCCTTTAGTTTCCTCATGGCAACAGAAGAATGTATCTCACAGAGGAAGCAAACAGGGGACACGTCCACACTGAGGAACAGGAGATCGGTCGCCTCCTCCGGGTCTGTGACAGAGGACTCACACCGTCCCCCTGCTGGACCCTCCTCAGGACATGACACCCACTCCTCTAACGGGACGTCTGCCCGGCTCTCCCCCAGAGGAGGCTCCAGTGATGGGGATGCAGGCAGGGAGCTGCTGCTGCTGCTGGTGGTGGTGGGTCTGTCCTTCTCCACACGTCTGCACAAAATAACAGAGCCCCCCCATGTGTGGTGAGACAAAGTCCTCAGTGAACACATGCACATGAGTCCAGGTCGAAAGCTTTGCAATGTTTCACACTGATGTGTTTTTGTAGCTGGGATGAGACCCACTTTGGAAAGATGGGCAGCTACTACATCAACAGGACCTTCTTCTTTGACGTCCATCCTCCTCTTGGAAAAGTAAGACCGCAGAATAATCCTCAGGTGTAAATATAATACATGACATCAACAAAACCAGGGAGAGATTTACAGGTATCCCCACAGAAGATTGGAAGAGGTCCCAAACACAAACTAATAACACGTCTTAATCTTCTGCTGTACAGTTGGCAGATAAACACTCAAATACAAAAGTGCTGTATCTGTATAAAGTGTGGAAAAGACAAAAATAAACACTTTAACACTGTCTTTGGCATTACAGTCGAGTGAAGAAGTTATGTGGGGCGGTGAGAAAATGTATCCAGGAGGTTTTGTCCACACAAACACCTCAAGACCCAGAGTTTCTCATACAGGTTTATACCCACGTAATCATAACAGTAGAAAGAGACGACACATGTTTTTTGATGTAAGTTTGTTGCTGGCCAGATGAGTTATTGTTCTATCAGGGAAAAAGTTTGGCTTGGCCAAGTTATTATCCTCTTTTACTGTTTCCTAGATGCTGATTGGACTCGCTGGTTACATGAGCGGCTATGATGGCACCTTTCCTTTCATAAAGCCTGGAGATAAATATGAACACCACAACTACGCAGGGATGAGAGCGGTATGCAGTTCTTTTCTAATCTACTAACAAAGCTGTTAGTTAGACATGTATTTAAGTGCTGATGTTTCCTGTCATTCCTCTCTCTCTCAAAGTTCTGTGCTGTGCTGGGTTCCTTCCTCCCGATCTTTGCCTACCTCATAGTGCTGGAGTTGTCTCAGTCTTACACTGCAGCTCTCATCACGGCAGCTCTGCTCATATTTGGTGAGTGTTGATCCGAAGGAGAGGGCCTGTAGTGTGTACACAGTTTGGCCAATGGTAGATAGATAACGCATTGTGTCCACTTCATTTTATCAAACACCTTTTGTGATGAATATCTTGAGTGTCTTGTTTTTAAATCACTCAGCGTATTGAAAAGTCCTGCAGCATGAATTTGTGCTTCATGTCACCATCCTGACAGACACTGGCTCAATCACCATCTCCCAGTACATCCTGTTAGACCCGATACTCATGTTCTTCATCATGGCCGCAGTGCTGAGCATGGTCAAGTTCAACAAGCAGAGTCACAGGTGAGAAATCCAGTAGAGCGTTTGTCATAGTTTTATATCTCCATACAAGTCGCTGGTCAAAAGTAAACAGTGATTATTTAGATAATTTGTGGATCATTTATATTTGTTAATCATTAACTAATTTTACTTTTGATAAAATAAACAGATACAATTTGCTGTTGGGCATTAACATGAACATCTATCTTAATTTTGGGAGATTTTGTGGAGCAATAATGCTAGAAATCACTTATGATGATATGATACACCAGTTGTAACTACGCTCTTAAAGTAACACCAGTATATTCAGATAGAGTTTGTTTAATGAGTGGTCATCAGTAAATACATGGTTTCCTGTTGGATGTTGCTCTCAGGCCCTTTACTGCCCCCTGGTTGCTGTGGCTGGTACTGACTGGTGTAAACCTTGCTGGGGCTTTGGGGGTGAAGTTTGTGGGTCTGTTTGTCATCCTCCTGGTCGGTCTGAACACAGTCAGTGACCTCTGGAGACTTCTGGGGGACCTCAGCCTCTCACTGGTAAACAACAACATGTTTTTATGCTCTGTTAGTGTTGATAAATAATGCCTGAAGCTCATCCGTGCTATTTTTTCATGTCTCCAGGTCAACATTGCAAAGCACTTCCTGGCTCGTGTGTTCGGGCTCATCCTGCTTCCTCTCTTCCTCTATGTTACAATATTTGCAGTCCACTTTGTTGTGCTGAACAAAAGGTGAGTCTGATTGTTGTATAACAGATAAAGTATGATCACTGCTCAGCTCACAGATGACATCCGCTGCATTATTTTAGTGATTGTGATTGTTCTCTCTCACCAGTGGACCTGGAGATGGTTTCTTCAGTTCAGCCTTCCAGTCTCGTCTAATCGGGAACAACCTTCACAACGCCTCAATGCCTGAGTGTGAGTCCTAAACACGTGTGGATAAAAACCCCATGATGCTGCAGCACTGTTTACTGAAACACTAATGAGGTCAAAGACAAATGTATGATTTCTGTTATTACTGATGATAGAAGCCAGATGGGCTCAAGAGTTTGCTTTAGAAAAGCTGTTCTCAGACATGAAAGAAGGAGATTTTCTGGGTCAGACACTTTCACAATAACAGGAAATGTCCAGAACATTCGGGTGAGGGGTGGCGCCTGGAAGGAGCATGTAGGAGGCAAGATATAAAAATGTCAATGTGGAACATTTGTGTTTTTGTTTACAGCACATCAACACCAGCGCCAGCCATTTTTTTCCTTTTGCGTCCGTCATCATGATGCCCACTCGCTGGGATTATTTTAGACATGTTCCTTTTGAATTGTCAAACGGGCACGCTCCAGGGGGCGAGCAGGAAATGTTCTGGAAAGTGTCTGGAGCAACTGACTTTCACATTTGCGTTCTCACATACAGCCCCTCCAGAGAATGTCAGTAGAGTCCAGGCTTCAATACATGTCTGAAAGCATCTTAAGTCACATATCAGGGATTATTGAGGCTGACTGACAGGCTGGTGTCGGCTTCACTTTAAAAGGGCATTTTCCATGAACCGTACTTGTTCCACATGTTTTAATCATGTTTTCCTCTTTCTTTTTTGTTTTTCTGTAGATCTCGCATATGGCTCCACCATTACTGTGAAAAACCTCCGTATTGCTGGAGGCTATTTGCACTCTCACTGGCACTTGTACCCAGAGGGAGTGGGGGCAAAGCAGCAGCAGGTCAGGCTACAGGTTCAGCTGTGACACATTCACCAACATAAATAAACACGCCAATACCCAAGATGCATTTATTTATTATTAAAAACGTCTTTATTCTTCCAGGTGACGGCCTATCTTCATAAGGACTACAACAATCTGTGGATCGTTCACAGGCAGGATCATAACGAATGTGAGAAGATGAGGTTGATTTACTGTTTAGAGAAACAAATTATATTCATTTAAATCATAATGAAGTCATGTATGAGCCTCTCATTGTTATTCTCTTTTGTTTATCCTCATTAAGCTCAATCTGGGACCCCTGATCTGGTTCGTCATGGTGACATCATTCGCTTGGAGCACAAAGAGTATGTGTAACACGAAAAAAATGTTACACTTAATCCCAACTAATTTAAATTATAAATGATTAATCTCCTCCTGTGTTTGATTATGTTTTTTTTTTTTCACTCCTTCAGAACAACTCGTAACCTTCACAGTCACCTCCACGAGGCCCCTCTGACCAAGAAACACTTCCAGGTTACAGGCTATGGAATAGTGAGTACAGCCCAATTTATCTGAAACACAGCAGTTGACTCAGAAACTGAAGTTACCTTCCACTGCCATTTAGAGATTAAAATATTTAGAGCTAACTTCCAACTCAAATTTGAAAACAAATCAATACTATTCAAATGCTGTATAAACTATTCGAATGTGTATTTTTATAAAAATGTTTGTATTATATTGGCGGCTCTGGCTCTGCCTCCATTGCTGAACTGCTGCGGCCAATGCGTGAGTGCTCTCCACACAGGGAGAGTGCTTACAGCAGCCACAGCTATCGTTCTTCATTTAACAATGTGGTCTTGATTACTCTCCTGCTGAGAAAGACAGGGAGAGAGAAAGAGAGACACTTTTTCAAATTAAATTTTAGAGGAAGATTGCCAGCCCTAAAACTATAATGTAACATCATAACATCAGATTGTGATTTTTGTATGTCTGAGTCTAACACACAACTGAATCTGCGCTGTGTTTGTAGAACGCCACAGGAGATGCCAATGACCTGTGGCAGGTGGAGGTGTGTGGAGGTCGAAAGGGCGACTTGGTGAAGGTGCTGCGCAGCAAAGTCCGCTTTCTGCACCGAGCCACCGGTTGTGTTCTTTACTCCTCTGGCAAGACTCTTCCCAAGTGGTAAAAGCTGTCACCTCTGCTCTGACTTAAAGGGGGATTCTGTTTTGTTTTTTTCTTAGTGAGTATATGGATGAAGAGTAAAAGGGGAGATTGACAGAGGCAACAAGCAGACAACAGGCTGCTGGACGGTTAAGAGTGAGACTTGTGTAATGTTGCCAGACTCTTAACCAAGACCCAGAAAAACAAAGCCTGTTATTGGTGAAAATAGCAATTTTAGTGGACATGTTGTGCACTGTCAAATGACCACGTAAAATTACATCGTAGCCACTGCCGCCATGTGACGGCTGCCAGCAGAGACAATCTACTGGACTGATTCTAAAAGTTTTTGTTAGAAGCATTAATTTTCATAGGGCCTGGTGGAAAAATATCGTAATCCCCCTTTGACTTCCCCTTCGACTTCACAAGATTCTTTTGTGTGAGTGGAACAGTCAAATCATTTTAAAGGTTTTGTCTCCATTCAGGGGCTGGGAACAGGTGGAGGTGACCTGCAGCCCTTACTTGAAGGAAACTCCGAGCTCTCAGTGGAACATTGAAGATCACATCAATCCCAAATGTACGATAAACTTGTCACTTGTGCTGCTTTGTATTTTTAAATACTTTTTCAAATAACCCGTACTAACCAACATATTTACCTCTTTATGTTTTGACTGCAGTACCCAACATCAGTCTGTCTGTGCTGAAGCCCCATTTCCTGGAGATCTTACTGGAGTCTCATATTGTTATGATCCGAGTAAGAAACCTTTAAAAAATCGATCTGTGTTTAAAGAAACTATTGGAAAAAACAAAAAATAAATACTTTTTGTTTTCAGGGCAACAGTGGCTTGAAACCCAAAGACAATGAGATGAACTCTAAGCCCTGGCATTGGCCCATCAACTACCAGGTGAAATGAATGAGGTTTATTTTTTAACTTAATTCAAATTAAGAACTTCTCTGTTTTAACCACCGATGGGTTTATTTCTTTGAAGGGACTGAGGTTTTCAGGGGTGAATGACACAGAGTATCGTGTTTACCTGCTGGGGAACCCGGTGAGTCTTCTCTCCCTCATGTCGTCACCCCCTGTCTGATCAATAAACATTCAAATCCTCATGATTAAATCCTGTTTTCAGGTGATCTGGTGGATGAACCTGGCCAGTTTGGGCATGTATCTCATCATGGTGGCAGTGGCGTCTGTAGCTCTCCAAAGAGGTTTCACATTGGACCAAAAAAGAATGGGTAACATTATTGATAGAGCAGCAGCAGCAGATAATTCATTAATCAGTTTATTTTAACATGAAGTAAATGACCTGTTGTCCTCTCTGTGTTTCAGAGCACTCTCATGTTCTCATGAGAGGAGGAGGCCTGCTTCTCCTCGGTTGGATTCTTCACTATGCACCTTTCTACACAATGGGCCGTGTCCTCTACTACCACCACTACTTCCCTGCCATGCTCTTCAGCAGCATGTTAACAGGTATCCAATCCCACTACTGCATTTTGCCCCTAATTCCTCTCCATCATACACAGCAGAGGTTTTCATATGGAGCTGATTGTTTCAATCTTTCTCAGTCTCAGTCAAATACACATAACCTGATACGATTATTTTTAGCTTCAGTGTGACTGTCTCAGGATATCATTATACCCTTGTTTGTGAATGAATCTGTATATAAATCTCAGAAAAACTTTTCACCCTTTTATCTTAGTTGTTAGTTTTTGTTCTTAGTCGTTTTTTGTGATTAATTTGTGTCAAATTCATCCAGTGATAGTTGTGGGTTAACATTTTGGTACAATCGCTGACAGTAACTTCTAATGGCTCATTTTAATGATGCAGATTAACTAAAATGTGAACAAATATATGTTGAACGTAACAGATTTGTAGTCTTCACCTACATTTTATCTCATGGCGTTTATTTTCATCCTTAATGCTGTGTGATCTTCAAACTGCTTTCCTATTGTTTCTGGTTTCATCATTCTGTTTCTTTGTCATAGGAGTTACACTTGACGTCCTGTTAGAAAGCACTGACCTGCTGCTCCGCCCGCCTTATTCTGATTGGCTGCAGAGAGCTGGGCAGATGGTCCTTCTGTTTACTGTTCTTTACAGGTGAGGTCACAACGAGAGTAATTACTGTGAAGGCCACTTTTTATTGTCTTCCATTCTTATGATGTCATAAAGGTTTTATCATCCTTATGTGTTGTTGGTTGCATATAATGAGTTTCTTGTGATGATACAGCTGCTTTTTAAACCCATTTTCCCTTCTTAGTTCCAAAATGCAGGAGGCTAGCTTAGTTTAGCAGAAAAACAGGAAGCAGAAGGAAACAGCTAGCCTGGCTCTATTTAAACCTAAAAGAAGAAAATACCTGTACCATATAAAACTCAGTAATTTCTATGTAAAAAAAACTCCTACAAGCCAGTCTACATTTTTTGGGGTTTGTATTAGTCACTCAGGTGGATTGATGAATAAAACTTTAATACATGACCTCATTTATTTATAAACGTATCAGGTAGATTTTCATTAGCAATGGTTGTGAAGACGACGCCCATGATCCGGCGCAGCTCAATGACGTCATCAGGCTAGATCTTACATTGTTGTTTTGATTGAGGGACCTGTAGCAGCCGAAGTTCAATATTGTATGTTTAACATATTACATCTCATTTCCACTTGCTTCATAAATAACAATATACATGTAAATGTTTTAGATTTGGAGATGGATTCTTTCAGCTTTTACCTGCTTTTCGACTCCTCCAGTGTTTATTCTTCTCCTTGTTGTAGATTCATATTTACTGTACACACATGAGAGCAGCATCTCTATGGAGGCCGCCATGTTTTTTTACAGTCGTCCAAACTGAAAAAACTAAACACCTTTTGAGTTTTTACACTAGATGTTTCTAAATTCTACTCACTGAACCTTTAACAAAGCATTGACCTCATCGTTGTGGTCTTAAATTACAATGATCACATTCCCTGTCTTGTAGTTTCTACCTGTTCCATCCACTCTCCTATGGGATGACGGGTCCTCTGGCACACGAGCCAGGCAGCGCCATGGCAGGCCTCAAGTGGATGGACTCCTGGGAGTTCTAGGCAACTCCGCACAACGACGACACAAAAATGTTCTGGATATGAAGGACTAATTCATGTCTCTCACAGACATTCGTTTTTTTATTGGTCTTTAATTCAAATAAGGTACTGACTCAACACACTGCTAAACTACCTGTCCAAGTATTTATGCGTGTCATAATTTCCAAGTATTGTTGTATAAAGAAAGGTGGAGAAGACAGACTTGAATCAGTGCAATAAGAGAACCAGAGTGTTGTGGAGGATCATCACCGAGCTGCCTTGACTCACAACGCAGCTTACATCCAGAACTCTCGTGTGTCTCCTGTCTGTGTCTCGATAATAAGCTAAAGTGCCTGAAAGGAGCTGGTGAAAGAAAATCAGAAAAATAAATGCTGCTCAGTTTCAAAAAACAAACTTTATTACACAGTTATTGTCTGTCAGACACTATTTTTGGCTGTTGTGTTGATTTTAGTTCTGTTATTTTTGTACCTGTACCAGCTTCTGTTTATATGACACTACAAGACTACTGCTGACTCTGTGTTATGTACATTTCAGTGTTATCAATAAACTGTGGTATTCTTGTATTCTGTGTTTATTGATTCTTATATCGTCAAGATTGTACCCAAGGCTATAATTGTCTACATTGATATGTTTTTTTTTTAGAACATAGGACAAAATAGTGAATATCCCTTGTACGTTAAAAAGTCTTCCGCACTAGTTTGATAAGTTGCCAACCAGCAGCAGATGTTGGCGACCAGCAGCAGATATAAGTGACATGTCATCAGTTGTGTACCTCAGCATCTTCAAGTGTATTGGCCGTGCAGGCTCACCACAGGCTGGTCAGACCTGGGTCCATGTCCCTAACATCTTGGGGCCCAGTTGGGACTCTTCTCATATCCAAAGTCATTTGTTACAGTGTTTTACCGTCCATGATGTTTCTTCTATGGTCTGGCACTGGGCCTGTTTTCATGACCCTTGACCTGTCTCACCAAATAAAGCAACATGCTTTCAAAATGAATGACCAAACAAGAGCCAGTCACTCTCACCTACTCCATCATTTTAGGTAACAGCTTTACCCTGCAACATTTTTTTATTCAAACTGTCCTTTGTCAAACGCTGAAGCGTTTGAAACTATGCATTTATTTCACAGTTCTTCTGTTGTATATATTTATTGATTATCACTGCTT